TCAAATTAATATTTTTTTCAAATTATTGCATCAATTTGCATATCTTCAATTCTAAAGTGTGGAAGTAATTTATTTATTGAAATAATATAGTACAAATTTATAATGCATTATTTTGTCAAAATCCACAATATTGATCTTGACGGCATTGAAAAAATCAATTATTGTACTTCATAGCTTGATTAATAGCTTCATTGAATATTTGAGGATTAAGTAATGATAATAATAGTTCTTTTATATTATTCCTTAGTTTCTAATAGAATAAGATTATAAGAATTTATTCATCTTAATTAATGTAATAAATTAATTACCTAAAATCAAATGTATAAATTAATAAAGAACATGATTCTTGATTTAATGAAAAAATCTTTATTTTTGCCTATTGAATCTTGTCATGTCCTCTAAATGAATCTACAAATGCTTCTAAAAAAGCTTCAATTTCCTCAAGATTGAAGATCTCTTCTCTAATAAAAGAATAAAAAAAAATAAGGCTTGTCTTATAAACAAGGTTCCAACTAAACCAACTTGTGACTTTTGTGTTGGATAATACTTAGGTTGTAGAGAAGTTATCAATTGAATTTGATTAAAAAACCCTCAAAACTTCAAGTGTGTGTCATCAAAAAAATTTGGAAGACTATTTCAAAGTTCTTTTTATTATTGAATAGGTAAATTTTTTTTATTGAGGTACATGTTGCACTGCCTCATTAGATGTAGAAGCTTAAGAAAGTAGTTGCATCTCAGGCTCAACTACTTTAGGTCTTTTATCACTATAAAATCTTGTAAAAAATCTTTAAATTTTAGCAGTTCTATACGATAAAGTATTCAACATGCTTATAATAATATCTAACTTAGATTCAAGAGACTTAACCATACTAACACCTTTACTTCTAGCCATCCTAAAAGAAAAAAAAAAAAAAAAAAAAAAAAATCTAAATAATATCAATTTAAAAGAGGATACTCCGCAATCTCTAAAGTGCTTAGATGCTTTTAAGAAGAAAAAAAATCTGCTTTCTATCAAAAAGGATCAAGCTCTAGTATTAATAAGATGATAGTCTTGACAAATTGTCATGGATATACAATATAGGAGACCAAATAAAAAGACCAAATAAAAAGTTGAACAAAAATTTTTCAACAAGAAAGGTAGCAAGCACTTAATTAAACTAGTTCAATATAAGATCAACACCAAGAGAAGTGAATTAGAGCTCCAAAGATATATTGTTAAGATTAATTATAATAGGATATAGATAAGATAAATATATAGATAGTTAGAACCATGGAAGTTTCTAGAATTGGGATTAGGTTAGTGGACCATATAGGATCCACCATAGAATATTTTAAAAAGAATTTAGGATGATTATTTAAGTAGGACCTATCATAAAATCTTTTTTTAAAAAAATTAAGATGGTTATTTAGATGGGACCTACCACTTAAGAACATTCTAACAAATCCAGAGTGGTAGTACAAGGTATAAATAGGATTGGCCAAGGTCTTTTGGAGCATCTAGTCAAATATGGCTTCAAACCCTTTCTCCTAATAAAGTTTGGTTCTGCATCTTTTTGCTTAGATCTGTTCTATTTTGTTTTTATTTTCTCAATTTTATCTTTCATGTCTTATTCTATTTAATTTCGATCAATTTTATTGTGGTCTATTTTGTCTTATTTTGTGATAAGGCTTTATGTTGCTATAGATTAGAGCAATCTTGGATTTTTGAGATAGTCTAGTCTTGTTTCATTGAGGATCTCTTGAGCATCAACTTTAATATATATATATATATATATATATATATATATATATATATATATATATATTTTAGGTATTAAGAAGCTTCTTAAGAAGTTTTCATGTTGCATAAGGTGAAGCAATCTTAAGATGCATTAAACCAACATCAACATACTTGATATGGATACACAAGGAAATGTTCAAATTAAAGAATATTTTTTATCATCTAAATGGATAATAGCACTCAGAGGCCTTTATCAAAGCACTCACATAATTGCATTTAGTTTCTATTCTATGAGCGGCATTGTCACATACCATTCTATAGATGCTACTCAAATTAAAACCATTAAAATTGGCTGACTATGTTACTATAGCAATGTTTAATATTCGTGTGGTCTATCATCTATAATATATATCTACCTCAAGCTAATTTGATATAATATATTAAGTAAGTAATATAAAAAAACTTATGCAATATTGTTATGTACCAGCTCTTAATTGTCACCTCCTACCACATTAGAATCATACTTACAATTGACAAGATAAATAAGGTTTTAGAATATAATTCTAAAAATATTTCTAGTCATATATAAAGCTCGTTATTTGATACGATATCTAATAGTCATCTTAGTTGGAATCCAAATGAGTAGAAATAGACTAAAATTAGAATATTACAAAAGTATAATTTGTATCAATATACCACTAAACATGATTACAAGGTCAGCCGACTCAAAATAATAAGTGTCATAAAAGGTTTCTAAGACTTAGAGAATCAAGGCTATATCCTCCAACATCAAAGTTCACTTATAAAAGGGATTTAGCACTCATAGATTCCTAATAAATTGGCCACCATGCAATGGCTCTATATAATAGGAAATCTATTTATGAAAGAATGGCAAGCCAAAGTGGATAAAGAAGGCATTTGTAGAATATGCAGTACTAGAGGATTGAGACTAACAAATATGCCCTATATAGCAACATATGAATCTTCTTAAAATGAAACCAACTCATTATCCTTTGAACTTACTATAGCCTAACAAGTCATTACAATTCTTGGGGTAACATACACTTTGGAATCCTAGAGCAATCAAGAGGTAATGTCATCTCAAACACATTTTCATGGAATTCTAAAACAAAGATACAAATTAACAATAATATCTCTTAAGATTTCTTATGATCAATCTTAAATGAAATATATGGATGTACAAATGCAAGAGAGAGATATTAGGACACACCTTTTTTATAGATAAGGTGTTGTTCTACACATAGAAAATAAAATTTTACATCAAAATAGAGATATGGTACAATATCTTCTACTACAATTGCTCCTCGGTAGAAATCAACAACCGAATAGATATCTTCTATGAAATATAGAAAATCAAAAGAATTTTTTCTTTACTAAGAAATTCTTTGTGCTGGAATTGGCTTACTTGATGGCTTTTCTTTTAATGATCATAATAGAGGTTGCTCTTCTACCTCAACATATTACATCTCTTAGATTGAACACTTCAAAAGATCCATTAGTTATTGCTTTAGAAAACAAAGACCTCTCCCTTGCCATAGATGATTTCTTTGAAGACATAGAACAAGGACTTAGGAGCCAAGTTCCTAATACTATGCCACAACATACATCTAAGATCATTGATTAACTCCCTATCAACACACTATAATTTTACTACAAGCTTCACAACTTAAAATCTATACAATCAAACCTTGCATATGAAAGTGATCTTTGTTTGTTCCAATAGATAGAAACACTAATAGAACATGATATAACAACATTTTGGTAGAAGTAGGAAAAATAAAAATAAAATAAAATAAAATAAAATGCTACCACCAAACTCTCTTAATGCACAATAATATTAACAACACATCAACAAAGAAAGACATTGCCAATTTCACACAATCCCATAAGGTCCGGAAGACCTCTACATAATAGTAGAATTAGCTAGGAATAATCCTTGGTTCTATGGAAGTATCACCACAATAGAAATCTATGCAGCCACTAGCCAATACCTTCAAGTGAAGAACATTCACAACTAGATGGTAGGCAATTCTTTAACCTCCATACCTAGCACCTCCATTAACAACATTGATAACATATTTGACACAAACAAGACCTTGAGATAAGCACCAACTAATACATAGTGATATTAATATAAGCCAACAATTGGAGTAACTCAACCACCAACAACAAAACCTCCCTACGGCCACAAACACGAAGTTTCAAAATCCTAGTGGTCTATGTGCATAGCCTATAAAGTGTAGATAGCAGGCAAATGTTGTATTCACAATAACCATGCTTAAACATAGCCCTTGGCCAAATCTCATCAGCCATAGGCCCTGATACTTGCATCACAATATTCATGTTTTCTCCTTCTACAGTGGGGGAATAAAGCAACCCACCTTTAGTCGGCCAGTGGCATGTGGATACGTGCCAAGGTATACATTGTAACATGCGTCAGTGCTTTGTTTTAACCCTGGTTGGGATTTTAAGGTTTACATGAATATCTTGTTGTTCTGGTGAAAACTAATCCTATATGTTACATTGTAAGGTAATGGTTATTTCTGAAGCTTGTGATTGTGACAGTGGTGTAATGACAATGAAGACATTGTTGCATTACTGTTTTTGGGCTTTGAAATATATATTTATGAGAACATTAGCTTCTCCTGCAGTGGTAGATTTAGAATAATGGCTTTCTTTGGACTATTTATTAAGAAAACGATGTGATTACAATGTAATGCTACTGATGATTTCTGTGAATTTTGTAATTGTAAAATATTAAATGAGACCAACTCAAAGTTGAGAATTTCTACAAGTAAAATGCAACAATATTTTTGCAACTATGTAATTCTGGATTGTTGGAGAAGTGATGTCTAACATCTATTTTTATGTATGTGCATTTATATATAAACATATACTATGTGAGATCGTTTAATCTAATAGCAAGTTAGTACTGTCACTGTATTATATCTATATATATATATATATATATATATGTATTTTAAATCGTAACATTTTGAATTCATGTAGTGAAGAATAATAAATTGTTGTTTAGATAGTAAATTTGACTTGCAACACAGCCAACATAATCGAAAGAAAAGAATATAAATTTCAAATGCTTTACAAGATATATGTATTTATATATATATATATATATATATAAGTTACAGGTAGGACTGTGAAATCTAGACACATGTGATAATTTGCAAGATTTTAGCAAACATGTTTGAAATACAATAGTAAAAATTGAAACCAAAATTTTGCAATGACCAACAAAATCCAGCTTACAACATAGCAATATAGGGATCTTATTAGATTCTATTCATACACTTTCTAATTAAATTCCTTTGCACATGTAAACCTGACAAAGCAAAAAAAATAGACGACTACATTAAACTAATCGGTGAACACCAACTAGTCTTTCTTTCTTATCCCTTTTCTTTTCTTTTTTGATAAACCCCCAAACCTTCTTCAATTCATTGAAAACATGCCATATCGTTTAGCAGAAGAGATTAAAATAAACAAGGATACAGAGTAGAATTCAAATGAAGGAATCGGGAAAAGTTTCTGTAAGCAGATTCTTAAAAAGTGATCTAAAAAGGCAGTATAAAAAGTAACCAAGACATGTACAATTCTTTAAGATAATGTAAAATCTACGGACGCGTCGACGGAACGCGCGGCACCGCTCCCTCCTGGGCCAAGCCCTCGACTCGCGTCGCGGCGCCCGCGATGGGCCAGACATTCCCGTGACGCGGCGTGCGATTGCTGCGGGGAAGCTAAGGAATCGAGATTATGTGTGCAGATTAAGTAGGTAGAGTGTGCATGACAACTCCAACCCAGTTAATCTCGGCACTTGAAATCTGCGCCTGCGCTGCCGACTGATGGCCTGGAGAGAGTGTGTTTTTGAGTTCTCATCGACGATGCGGCGCTTGCGTACCCGGCTATTGTATCAGATCGTGCCTCTTTTCTGCTGGGCTACTGGTTACAATTCTATTGTACAGCAATTATGTGCGGATGGCGCTGTCAGCTTCACTTGGATGGGCCCCTCGACCTGGACCTCTCCAGTTTTATGAATCTCGACGAGGACTGGTCTGCCGTTTGTGGGGCAGCGGGGGGATCACTCCTGGGTAAGAAAACTTGAGAAAAAATTGTCCTGGGCGATCGCGGGGGTGGTGTAGTGGTCCCCACGAATCGTAAATCAGGAAGGTCGTCTGAATTGTTTGTGGACCTGAGAGGGGTTCTGCTCTCGGACCGCGGCAAGGAATCGGGCAAGGTGGCGTCCACCTCCGCTCCGGCTTTGACTGAGCTTGGTAGACCCTTGTCGTGTTTGTTATCTGCCGAAATCTTTGGTTTGCGCGGGGTTGAGTCGGGAGTGGTCCCTTGGAGCTGATCTCCAGTCGATGGCCTTGGCGATTTGAGGGGCAGTCTGCTTTCCGACCGCTTGAAGATGTCCGGCATGGGAGATGGTGGGACCTCCTGATCCGTGGTGTCTGTGAGCTTCGTGTTGATGAACTTGACATAGTTGTACCATTTCGTGGACATCACGAAGCCGAATGCGTTCATGCTGCTGAGCACCATGAGCACGAGGTAGAAGTAGTTCAACCGGTTCTTGTTTAGGTTGGAGTCGGCCAGCCAGCCGCCATTGTTATAGTTCTTGGAGACCGCGTTCGTGACTACGATGAGGCCACCGCTTTGGTAGAAGCCGAGGGCGATGGCTAAAAGGGAGAAGCCTCCTCCCAAGCTTCGCATCTCAACTGGCATTTCTTGCCAGTAGAACTCAAAAAGGCCGACGTAGGCCCACAGTTCAGCGCTGGAAGCTAGAATCCACATTGGCAGCAGCCAGAAAATGCTCATGGGCACGACGGCCATGGGACTTTCAATCAAGCCATGGTGTCTTGCCGACCTGAGTCTTCCAGTTTCCACAATGGCACCGTAAGCCATGGCCAAGATGGACTGCAGGAGTCCAATGCCTATTCTCTGAAGGTGTGTTATGCCATGGGTATGTTTGGTATACTTCCGCATGAATGGAACAAACCACTGGTCGTAAACTGCGATCTCGATGAGCACGAAGGCGACGGAAATCGCCGACAGAGAAGGCGGCGGAAACTGGAAAGTGCCGATGTTACGCTCCATGGTGTAGCCCTGAGCGACTGCCCAGGTTTGAATCTGAGCCACTACGATGTAGAGGAAAGAAACACACCATACGATTGGTAATGTGCGCATTATGGCTTTGAGTTCTTCCACTTGGGTAATCGTGCAAAGGCGCCATGGATTGACTTTTGTTGTGGATTGAGTTCCTGTGTCGTGTTCCGTAACAACGGCTGCCCTGTCGAGGAAGGTCAAGCCCTCGGTGTGAGGAAGAGAATAGTATCTTTTCAGTGTGGGCTCTCCCAGAACCTCTCCTTTGTTGGAATTGAATCTTTTCAATGTCGGCTCTGTCGGGATGGCATTTCCGTTCTCGTGGTCCTGAACCTCGAAGAGCATGGCACTGTTCGATGGTAGAGTAGTTTTTTTCTTTCGAGTTGCTGCAACGATCACTTGCGCGATGCGTGTCAGTGGACTCCCCTGAGGCTTCTTGTGTCTGTAATGTCCCGCTCCGGCGACGAGACACGCCGTTGAGAGTAGCATTGCTATTCCCATGATTGTGTAAGCCCAAAACCAGGACACACTTTGAGAAACATAAACTACCACCATCATGGCAATCATCGTGCCCACGCTCATGAAGAAGAAGAGCCAATTGAAGTAGCTCCGGATTTGTCTTTTCTCCTCTGGGTCTTCGATGTCGAATTGATCAGCTCCCAGAGTTGCCAGACATGGTCGTAGACACCCTGTGCCCAGTGCAACCAGGTAGAGGGCGAACAGAAACACTATGAAACCTTTCGTTCCTTCTAAAGAGGGACAGGTATGGTCAGTAATTGGACAATTTGGTGCCAGAGTATTGACGCTCACCGACACTACCATTAAGCCCAGTCCCTGCCGCCAAACACATTACAACATGTGAGCATCATTTCACGCACGAGCCAGTCAAAGAGTAATGGCAAAGAGGGAGGGAGAGAGAGAGAGAGTTGAGGAAGAAACAAATTCGAGGTTTTGAAGCGCATACCACCATCTCCATGACAGCGAAGATGAGTGATGCCCAGAAGCGTCCCAAGTATGCATCGGAAATGAATCCTCCGAAGATTGACGTGATGAAGGAAGTTCCCCAGTAGATGTTGGTATGGATGGAAGCTTTCGACGTGGGCAAGTGCATGGGCCCTGACAGATACGTGAAGAGAGTGAAAGCTATCCCTACGCTTGCGACACTCTCAAACATCACGGCCACTGTTACAAAGCACCTCACACCGTTACTGCAACAGGATTTCAGAAACCGCTGCGTGAACATAGTCAAACTCAGTGGCTGCGGAATGGAATCATGGAGAGATGGAAGCAACGCTGCACTTTACCAAAGATGAGTGAAGCCGTCTTCCATCCCCCAGTATTTTCCTTGGAAGCGGGCCTTCCTTTCGTGTCGACAGACCCATCACCCACTTGAAAATTCGCTCCTACAGCTTTGCGATCTGGAGCCTCACCATAATCACCTTCAACATTTCTCCCGTCGTCCCCCTGACAGGCAAAGCTCAGGAGTCAATCCTTTAATGTCTACAAATATGTTGGACGACACACTTTCACAGCTGCATGACTATCGAAGGAAAGTAAACGAAAGAGGATATACTGTGCTACGAGTAATAGAAGCTCAACTAGAAAAAATTATGAAGGAATCAGAGCATTGAATTCAGCTCGGGCGTTGGCTGGGCTCTAGGTCAACGTGAGCAAACGAGGACCACACTAACTACTTACCTTTCTGTTGACGCAAGGCAGGACCCCGCAGGCAGCACCGCAGAATGCCATTAAATTGCAAGTGCACGATCAAGTTGCAACCTAGCCGAGCTTTAAGTTTCGGGACAAGCTTCAGCTAAAAGCATCGAAAGCAAAACCTGTTAGGCATTATCATGGAAGAGAGAGTTCACACCCTTAACAACAGCAAAAACCGAAAAAGAAAAGAAACGAAACACAAAAAAAAAATCCTCGTTTTCTCTCTTCAAATCGGTCGCGGTCTCTAAACATGAGCATTCAAGACAAAAATGTCAAGCTCTGCTTCTGCCCCCTATTTGCAACAAGTACCTGTGTACCTCAGAGGGACCAAATTGCTGCAGCGGCGACCTACCGGTCAACCCCTGCGTAGAGTCACTGCTGGAACGTCACACTCTACTTATGAAGACAACTGCTTCGGATCCCACATAGATCCAAAACCTGCATACAGAAGCAGGAGCTGAATCCGGCCAGTCTGTCACTGCATGGAATTCACCCTCAGCTGCTGCGAGCTTTCAGATCAATCTTGTACATGAACTCCTGCAGATACTTATAAGTGATGTCCGAAGATCTGTGATGTTTCTAGTTTCCCCCCTCCGAGTCCACATCGGTCATGTTCTCGGTCAACTTTCGAGCAGCGCAAAGTCGTTGAAAGTGGACGGGTGATCCCAGGAGGATCTGCCGCGAGCTTGGGTGCCACTCCAAAGCTGTTTCTTCTCGTTGTCGTAGTTGACTCGAGTCTTCCTCGCTCTCTCTCTCTCTCTTTCTCTCTCACATACTCATAGCCTAGGTGCTCCGCACATGCTAGTAGGTGACTCACAATTCTGGGACCGGCACTGACGAACCCCCGTAACCTCCAGGTAAGTGGATCACACAGCCAACCTAATGGTGTCCTGAAAAAAACCATCATGCAATTGCACCTCTACGTCTTCAGGGGAAATGATTGTACAAGCGCACAGCGAGAGACACTAGAGAAGGACACTGTCCAGACTGTTTCCTCAAACATTCTCTGCCAAAACAAAATTTGGGGTGCAGGAGATTAGCATAGGACCATAACGTCGAGAACGTTTCGTTTAAGTCGAATTTGAACAGCTCAGTTTTACCGGAGTTATGTTTGAAAGGGGAAGGTGAAGAAGAAGAAGAAGCTGGATAATTCTCACGTTCGAAAATTCTGTCAGTTTGGTACGGTGTTCCCCGGTTGGAATTCAACGAAACGTGGGCAGCGTAGTTTTCAAATAACTGGCTCAGTCTCTCAACTGCTGGTGAGTGCAGACATGAGTGATCGATCAGCAGCATATTTGGGTGCTCTCATGGATGCTTCTCGTTTTTTTTCCGTTGGAGCTGGCTACACCTGAACCATTGACTGATGCTCTTTTTTTCTCTCACCTCACCCTGTCAGCTTTCAACTGTAGGTGAAATGGGACCCCAACTGTTGAAAGAGCTTTCTGACAATGTGTCAGTTTTTTATTTTATTTTTTTACAGAGGACACTGCGAGCTCCTCACCGAGCAGGTGTTGTTTTTGGCGGCGACAATAATGTGCAAGTACTTGCAACCAAGGGGAGGGGGGGGGGGAGGGTCCCAGTTAACAGTAGTCCATTATTTACATTCCACTTTTAAATGGATACACCAGTTGATGTATACTCCTCATTTGCAACTGGTACTTGTACAGTGGAATCGCCTGTAAGACAACGTAGAAATCCAACTCGGAATTTCAACAGATTCATACGGTGGAATAATCCCAGGGACTCGCCATAATTTTGGGGTAACTTGATGCTGCAACATTCCCTCTTAGGTTATCAATGCTTTAGTGAGGCTATGAAAATGCGAAATGGGGGGGATCATGATACCTGAGGTATTGATTTCTGCATAAGGTACATAACCACAAGATCCAGTGGAAGTTGGCCGGAAAGCCGAGCTGTTCACGAGGTAGAGCGCTTTGCTGAGTTCCCTTTGAGTACAATAATTTTAAAAAGTAGCACCGTCGAGTGCTGCCTGACACTTGCATGCGAGAAGGACCCCACCCACTGCATAGTGCTCCGGTAGGCAGTGCAACGAACAAAGGACGCCACTCTTCTAGAAGAACCCTCCAGGGAGCCTGTTTCTGCCTCATTATCACATTTTCACATTTGTCATGTAAATCGCAATTAGAGCTACTGATAGGGATACTGTCAATGCAGGCAACCTGCAAGGAGGACTGTCTTTTTCTGAATTGAGGAGAAAGGTGCCCCTGCACAAGCTGTGTCAGAAGCAGTGTGAGCTGCAGAACCATTCTTAGTGGATTTTCAGCGCCCCAAGTGCCGGAAGTCTTGTCGGAACCTCACCCATTGGTTAAAACCCTTTGAATTAGAGTTCAATGCAGCGCGTAGAAAGCTGCTTGATTTCACGGAGTCAAAGTTTTGTACGTAATACATGCGTTGGATTTGGGGTAATAAGATTCAACCCCTCGGAATTGCACCCTGTCAGTAACCACCCTGATCCCTGATTGCTCTTGAGACTTGAGACCCCATTGTACCCAATTGTTAATGCAATCTACAAACTCCTATGAGTGGAGAACGTACTGGATACCACCTGCAGAAATATTTGAGTGGAGATGATACTGATCAAGTGGCGATGGAGTAATTTTCCTTAACAAAAACCTGATAAGCTATGCAGCTCCCCACCTATGATTCACAAGTACTGCCGAAGTATTTTTCATGGTACGATGTGGACGGACAATATTTGATGTCTCTCATTCATGTGAAAATTAGACGAATGCTTTCAAACAAAGAAAACATGATAAATTTCCCCGTCCTTGCCTGATCGTGAATGGCGACCTGTGTTCCAAAAAAAAAAGTGCACAAAAATACTGTCATTGCGCGTCTTCAATTTCAATATGAAGTTCCGCATGGAAAAAGAAGAATTGTTCTGAACCCAAGTCGTTGCTAAATTTTGAACTCCTGACCCTAAAGCCTTGTAGGTTTGATAACCTAAGTGTGTTGGCACAATTCCATTTCAGTAAACGTAGGCAGGAGGACTAGAGCTGTCTGTAGGTACTACATGTGTACTTCGTATGTGTGTAGCGATGGCCTGCCTGCACGAAATGGCCCTTGGCTAGCAGTTCCAACAACGGACAAACTCCTTATTCACAACGATCCGGCAAGGGACAATATCTACTCCTCTGGTATTTTTGGTTTGTTTCTTTTACTTTTCCTGTCTCGCATTGTGTCTGTTGTTTTTGGCAAGATCATTTACAGATCGTACTCTGGTGAAACGCGTGAAACCAGAGCATTGCATACCAGTCTTACTTTACCGTGCTGCCTTCAACTACATCTAGTCGTAATTACATGAACTCCAACGGATGTGCATCTAAGCCGACTTTGACTACCTGAGCGTTTTTCTTCAGGCGGGGCATGGCCCACCATCTGGTGGATTCTCAACAAAGCACCCATTAGAAGACCTAGAAATGAACAGGAATCGAAGATAGCATTCGACAGTTCCTCATCCCAACTCATGGCAGATTATCTCGCTTACACTATCACCGAGCTCATAACAAACAAGCTTCGACTTGACCCCAGTGGCCAATTCAGCAGGTAACGGCATCCAGATTGGGGCTTGTGTGTGCGGTTGCACCACTCGCTGGAGTACAGCGTCCTCTCAGAAAAATTCTTCCCAAGGAAACAGGAAAAGAAGACCCCACCCTAAGGCAAAGAAAACGTGACAAACGCTGCACACAATCATCATCATCACCACCATCGAAATATACTCCAGCAAAACAGGGCAATTAAAATCCATTCTCTGATTTTCTGTTATTATGTTTTTATGTTTCCTCATTTTGTGGCAGCAGATCAAATCATGAAGCTGTCAAGCACAGATGTGATCTTCTG